TCACTACCCCCACCTACTGCCACCATCACAGTCACCACCACCATCACAGCCATCACCATCAGTCACCACCATCATCACCATCACAGTCATTGCCATTGTAATCACCACTATCACCTCCATCACCTTTGTACTCACCACCATCATTGCCATCACCATCACCACCACCATTGCCATCAGTCACCATCATCACCATCACCACCATCATGATCATCACCATCACCACTGTCACCACCATCACCATCATCACAGTCATCAGCATCACAATCACCATTATCACAATTATCACCATTACAATCACAACTGTCAGAGTCACCATCAACACCACCAACACCACAGCAGCTCCAATAACTCAGGGCCTTCCTGCACCGCATTTGGGAAGATCCTTGCTTCCTTACCCATCTCTGTCTCCAGCCACATCTTTTCTGCCTGACTTGCCTCTATCACCTACCCACTCCCTGACCACCTTTCTTCCCTTCAGTCCACCAGCTCTGACTGCAGACTAAGAAAGGATTTTGCAAGTAAACTTCAGCAACCTTGCTTTTCTCTGATTTAAGGAAGGATTACTGATCTTTTAGTATTTGTTTTATAAATAACAAGAGCTGTTAATTAGACTCATTAAATTTAAAGCAATTGTTATAATTTTGGAGCTTGGTTTCATTTCCTTAGTTACACACGGTTGTTGATGCTGCTGCTCTGAAGAGCAGGAGCGTGTCTGCAGAACATCCTTCCCCCTTCGCTTGGTGCTTCTTCTTCCCGTTGACCCTGTGCCTCCAGCCCACCCCCCGGGGGCGTGTCAGCCCTGTATCCCAGGGCTGTCTACATCCTCGGACAGATAAGACTGTCTCCTCTGTGGTCCAGCTGGTTGAGGAAGGCCCTGATGCAAACTGTAAAGAAGGGCTAGTGAGTCTGGGTGCCCATTCATTCTCCCTTGCATCCACCCTTCATTATTCACTCCCAACCAGGCCCGCTTTCAGGAAGAGATCAAATAAACTTATTTAGGGTGAGGTAGCTTAGCAGTGGAGCAAAGCCAATAAACGAAACTTTGAATGTGGAATTCCATCTGGTTAAAGATGGTGTGGTGGAGGCAAATGTCACCTCCTCCAAACACTGTCAAAGGCCCCTTTCTCATTCGTGGGTCTTCTACGTCCTGGTCCTCTTCCCTTCCCTCTCTTCCATCTGCTCCTTTGAGACCCAGCTCAAAGGAGGTCTCATACAGGAAGCGATCCTGGCTCCTTCTCAAGTGCCCCGATCACAGGATGTCAATCTCCTCTGCTAGAAGGGGTCCTCTAACTACTGTCTGAAGGAGAAAATAGCCTCCCTTCGTCTCACTTGCCCTGCTTTGCTTCGCTGCTGCTTATGTTCCCAGCTGCTCCACCCTGGGCTTGTGGACACCAGGGTTTAGGAAATGTGGCCACTTCTTGGTTCTTAGATAGGTCCTCTTCCATGGATGGACATGAAGAAAGTACTTTGGACGTAGGTTCTTCCACATGGTGTCTTCTTCATGACACTATTTAGACAATCAAACTCTTATCCTAAGTTCCTCGATCTTTGAAATAGTGAACCTAGGAATATCTTCCATCCCTGTCTTTCTCCAAGGGATGTTGTAAGGATCAAAGGATATATATGTGAAATGCTTTGAGCTCAGTGGAGGGTAGAAGTCTAAGGCTCAAAGGTATTACTGCTGCTTGGTTCCATGCTGTCACCATGTAATCGAGGATACATTAATTTTGGCAATGATAATGTCATATTGGTGCATCTTTTCCTCCTTAAGCAGCACAATTGACTTTGACCAGAGCCCTACAAAATCCTTCAATTTATAGATTAAAAACAAATATATGGGAAATTATCAGATATGTTTTTAACAGCATTTTTCATTGACTTTTTTTTTTAATAAGTAAGTCTTTTAGAAGAAGTTGATTAAAAAGCTTCATTGTGTGGGAATGATATGCATTGGCAATAAGTAATAAATAGTATCATAGCAGTTGACTGCCTTTACTTTCATGCAAAATAAATAAATACATTTGGTGACATGCATTTGAGGAGTATGATTCCTGTAAATGTCAGGGAAACAAGAAACCGCCTTACAGATGATAGAGATTTTACCGTCTGCTGGTAACAAAGAGACGTGACACATACCATGAGGCTCTTACTGAGTTTGTGTATTGACACACCAAGCATCGGAGTTCCCTGTGACTGTCCCCAGGGAGGCTGGCCTGGCTTTTGGCACGTGGGAGGAAGGCTTCTTTGCTTGAAAAGCAAATGGCCCGACCCTAGTGTTGCTGGATGGCAGAGTGGGGAAGAGGGCTGAATTTTATTGGCACGGCATCAAGAGAAATGTGCTCTCCGGGGTTGTGAGAGCCTTCCCAGGCTTGCGGTTAGAGGAATGGTGGAATCACCATTGGGCAGATACTGTCTCAGTGTCGGTGGAAGAGAGAGAAGTGCAGATGCTTAGGGAGAGGTGAGGGCTGGCAGCTCCAGACTTTCTGTTCCCATGACCTCTGTCGGTGATGAGGGGGTTGTGGTTCCAGTTCAGGATAAGGGAGGAGGAGGTAGGTTCCTGGTAGGAGATGCTGAATGAGCAGTGAAAGCAGTGCTTCCCTCTCCAGATGGAGAAGAGAAACCTGAGGGAAGGCAGCCAACAAGGATTGCCTCCCTGGTGAGGCTTCCATCGCCCTCCTCTCGGGAGAGGGGGAGGTGTCATCTTGGGTCACTCTGGTTTCATCTGATGGAGTGGAGGGTACGTCATGGTGTCCCACGAAAGGTGGCCAGTGCATTTGTGTTAGTGGCTTATGTGGAGGAGGTCCTGAGGGCATTCAGTCCTCCTTGTAGGAAAGCCAGAGGGTGGGTGAGCCTGCGGGACCTTGTTAGAGAACGCGAGCCAGTGGCAGTCTGCATCTGCGAGCGCCTCTGGGTATCTTTACGCTTCCAGGTGTTTGGGAATAAGGCAGGTCTGCCTAAAGAGGAGTGCAGCATCTTACCTCCCTCTTCTCCATATTTGGGAGTGACCCTTGAGCCCAAAAATGCAGCCAGTCGGATACTTGCTTCATCGATGTGGCTTGTATCCTAATGCCTTTTTGTTCTTTTTTTAAATTAATTTATTTTGCTGCATCTTTAGTTTCGGCATGCAGACTCTTCATTGTGGCCTGTGGGATCTAGTTCCCTGACCAGGGATTGAACCTGGGAGTTCAGGAGTCTTAGCATTGGGAGTGCAGAGTCTTAGCCACTGGACCACTAGAGAAGTCCCTTTAATGCCTTTTTCTTTTTTTTTCATGTTGGCTTTTTTTTTTTCATTTATTTTTATTAGTTGGAGGCTAATTACTTTACAATATTGTAGTGGGTTTTGTCATACATTGACATGAATCAGCCATGGAGTTACATGTATTCCCCATCCGGATCCCCCCTCCCACCTCCCTCTCCACCCGATTCCTCTGGGTCTTCCCAGTGCACCAGGCCCGAGCACTTGTCT